CATTTTATATGTCAGTTTTTTTTTATATCAGTTTGGAGTAAGGAGGTATCACTTTAATCTTTATATTCTAATGCAGGTCAAAATTAGGAAGTGAAAAGAGGAATTTGAGTCCATGAGATGTGCCACTATCGACTTGTGGAGGTTTATTTGTCCTCAGTTATAACCTTAGTAGTGCCCTGATTTGATTAATCTTCTGATTTCTGTTAAAGTGTGAACATCTAATTGACATCAAATTGATGGACAAAGCTGACTCACTGATTTTATGGCCAATGACCAAACTAAGACTTCCATTAAGTGACTTCATTGACAATATGACTGTCCTGAAAGTTGTATTTCATCCAAATAATAAAACTCTGAAAATCAATGATCATATCTTTTATTTTGTTGTATATTGCAAAGCAGACTACATATATCTCGTTGAATAGTCTAATGACAGTACCAAAATAAGGTGATGCTTTAATTCACCACAAAATAGTCTCAAATGGACCACAACAAATTGAAGATATACCAATTGGTTAAAATATAAGTTATTTGAATTATAGTAAAAGTCTAGAATTGTTAATACTGATTGTATGTAATATAATGTAGTAATGTAAAGTTATTGTTAGTAAATCTGACATGAGCTAGTTGTTATTTTATTAAAATAACTTATATTTTAACCAAAACAAGACAATTTGACAACAGTAAAGTAATGACAATACTTGATATAATAACTATAAGGTAGTCAAATAAAGTCAATACTCTTTATAATATAAAATAGAAGATTTCTAACAGAAATAACAATTTTCATAAAAAACAGTCCCAAACTTGTAATTAACGAATGTCAATAAATGCTTAAGCTGAAACTAATTGGTCTAGAATCTATAACAAATTATAATACATCAAATCAAAACTCCCCTATTTCCTCAAATTCCACAAGTAAATTCCAAACAATCTGAAACTAGTCTTGTCTCAAACCATGTATTTATAAAGTCTCTTGCACAATTTGAGGAAATTGGGTAAAATTAAAGTTGTAACTTGTCTATTTGGTCCGTGTCTGACTACATTCTGTAACAAATGAAGTCTTTTTAATTAACAAGTGAGGGCAAAAAATAAACAAAAATAAGCACTTTAAGGTACCAAGGTATAAGACAAAGCTTAGATTCCTATATTACAAAGACCTGAATTGAGGTTTCTATGTTGTCAGCCACTAAAAGTTAACAAACAAAATAAAAGAATCATTTTCCTAGGATTTCCAGTATAAACATTGAATAAAGTAAGTGTTGGAGATCTATAAACCACATTATTCTAAATCATTATTTACATCTTAAATCAAACATTGCTACCTTAATATATTCTACAAAACTCATAGTATAATATATATATATATTTCTTATAATGACGATTCATATATACTCTCCAACATATTCCAAATAATAAGATAATAAAAATAGTAATTATAGTAAGGAAGATTTGTCTTGTAATGTAATGATGCACCAAAAAATTAGAAGCCCTATTCTACAAACTACAAGCTTAAACATGTGAAAACTACAATCATACAAAAATAAACATTTGTAGCAAACAAGCAAAACATTGTAAGCAATTTACTTTATAAAAACTATACAACTACTGTCCTGTCAACAGTATGAAGTTTGGGCATAAAAAATACATCTTTCAGCAAAACAACCTCTACTCTATAGATATGATGATCAACAAAATTTCATATAAAACTAAAATCTAAATCAATCAAAAAAACTTTCTTGGAATTTATTTTGACAAAAGGAATTTTATATTTTCTATGGTTTAATTAAGTAATTCAAGTCACAAAAACAAATACTAAAATATACTTAAGCTAACAAAAAACAAACAAAAGTTTGAACTAAAAAAAAATCAAAACTAACAAATTCTGAACACAAACCCTGTGCTACAATCATAGTAAAAAATAATATTGATGAGAAAACAAATATTAGACCCTGTAGAATGACACAAAACATAATGACAAGAGGACGAATTGACAAAAACCATACACAACCAACAAACATGGCCAAGTTGATAATAATCCAACTAACTACCAAAATATGACATCATTTTGGCATCAATAATGATGATTAAGTATATCATATGTGATATGTTAATAAATGCCACATTATTAGTCATCTAAAGCAAGAAATTACTTATATTTGGTAATTGTAAGTATCTGAGTATTGGAATCACATTATTTCATGAACACAATCATTCTAATAATTAATTCTTAAACAGAAATGAAATAATATTTGGTTTAAATGCACAATGTTAAATTGAGAGAAATGATAAACTAATAACAAGAGACAATGGAAGAACAGAAACAACCACATAATATACATACAATAACAATTGTATAAACAAGCAAAAATTTTCACATGAACATTTTCCTCACAGTATCATGCAATTTCAATGATAAAACATCACAAAGAGAGTTCACAAACAAGATGTCATTACTAGAATAGAATTCTAAAATGTCATGATAACGCAAATTATCCTAATCATTGAAATATCATTATTCACAAAAAATCACACCTAAAAGTTAATCACTAACAAATAACATTCATGTCTGTTGCTATGGTTACAATAAAATGTCCTTCACCTTGGCAATAAACCTACCAGAATAATCAACCAATGAAATCATACATGCTGAATACCTTTCAGATCATCTATTCATGATTGATTAACGTCACAAAATGTAAATATGAGTTATGAAAGATTTTTTTTGTAATATACATTTTTCACTCAGCTAATGTCTGAATTTACATAAATGACTAATTAGTTGTATGAGAAAATTTTGACAAGTAACCTTACAACATCGCCTCACAACCACCACCAAACAAAAAATGGCACCAAGATGAATAAATTCAGAATGAAATCTAATGTTAACAGAACAATAATATAATGGAAATTTTAGTAAAATTCTAGACAATACTTTTAAACATTTCATTGGTATATATAATATATTAGTATATAGAATAACAATTAACTACCTAAAAACTAATATTCACTACATTAGACCCTCTATGAGGCTCCATATTCCTCTATAACATTGTGGTTTGCAACACCTTGTTCCCAATATAAACCATATCATATATGGCTCAACTTTGGGGTATGAGGATTATACAAATTGGAAGATTCAGTAGTCAAAAAATGGGCAGCAGAATGCTGATGTAGATATGTATTTACTTCCTATAATATGGAATAATGAACACTCTAAAGGTAATCAAAAATAAACCTTAAGAGTGAATATAATATTTATAAAAAAATGAATCAACAATACTAAATGTCTTGCGTTTCTACTTGAACACAATCACAACTACCGAAACTTAGTAGTCAAAACACAAATTGTTCCACAACAAATTTTGGCATCTTAAAGTAAATTTATACATCTTAAATTGTGCAGTTCACATCACTTTATACACAAAGCACAAGTCTCATTATATATATATCGTAATTTATTCAATCTTTGGTTGAGTAGCAGGTGATTCTGCTGTAACAGAGTTCTGGAAGTTGTTGAGATTATCATGTATTGTGGTGCTTCTATGTTTATTGGGACTTGATGATGAAGCTACAGACACTGGTAAAGTCCCAGACGATGACTTTCGTTTGATGTATTTGGCCAACTTAATTTTATGTGTGTCTAATTGGCAATGCACCTTCATTTCAAATAATGCTGAAACTTTCTCACCACATGGTTTACATTCATATTGTATCTGTTCTAATTTCAACATAGGTTGAACATTTTCTGGTATCTTACTACCCAGGAAACACAGTGATTGCTGATGATTAAGACAAGCATCTTTAGCTGGGTACACCATCTGACATTTTTTACAAATATAACCAACATCTACAACTGTTTCATGTACCAGTCTATAATCTGTTGAACTTATCATTGTTTTTAATTCAGACATTTTTTTACAATCCTGAGTATACTGAGCTCGTGTTGATTTGGGATCAGCTAATTTTTCTCCAACACTTTTAATGGCTTGTTGTGGTATTTGTAACAATGATAAAGGTGTACCAAACGCTATGGGATCATAAGCCATCATATGTTCTGCTCCTAAAATGAAGAATTAAGAGCATATAAATTCAGCCTTAAGAGAACAGTAAAATTAAAAGGTAATCCACAAAGCTGTAACTGTATTTGCCAGTCCTGTCTACTTGACATGCAGAATTTAAGTCTAAAATTGATCAATATTAACCCAAAGTATGGACAGCACCACTCCTACTTTAAGATTTAACAACTTGTAATAAGGGGAAACTTACCAGGAAACATACCACCAGGTTGCATCATAGGCATTCCAAGTCCTGGGAAAAATCCAGGCATACCAGAATACATATAGGATAAGAAGTTTGGATCCATTCCTGGTAAATAACCACCTAAAGCAGACATCATTTGGGCATTCATAGCCATTTCAGCAGCTTGTTCCTTAGTAGGTGCTGAAAGAGATATCATAATATCTAGAATCGTTGCCCATCATTGCACATTGTGAAGTTTTGAACATCGTCCTATGTTTGGATTGCATCCATGACACCTCAAATTCAAGGTGCCATATCATCTACATATTATAAACTATCCTTTAGTTTAGTCTTACCATTTTCACTCTTTGTCTCTTTCTCTTTCTTTTCAGATTTAACTTTAACCATACTAGAACTTGAACTTGGACTATTTGTTCCTGAAATCATTGATAAAATTGTTAGCATGTTTTATTTGTTTATCATATAAAATCTTGCATCACTGCAGGTGTGATATATTTCTTGTCAGCCATTTGATATATTACTCAGCAGCTCAAGTTGCCATTTCCTGTAGGTTACATATTCAAGAAAAGTATCAACCTACCTTGATGATTCATAGCATTTAATCCCATGGTTTGAAGTTGAGCTAGGTGGGAAGTTGGTGTGGATTCATCAAATGATTTCCTCATTCTGTCCATGTCTCTATGTTGACGAATCATTGATGAGATATCAGAAGACTCTGAGACATCAGAGTCACCTTGAGACTGGATGTGCTTCCTCACATTATCAATGTGTTTTCTGGTAAAGATATGGTCCTGAACTGTAAACTTGTGAGAATATTTGAAGCTGCATAAGCTACATTTTTCAGGAGTCTTTTGATTATCTTCACCATAACCTTTGGGAAAATTCATCTTTGATTTCTTTTCCTTAGCTCTAGCATTCTGAAACCATACTTGAACTACTCTTTTTGGAAGACCTATTTCTCTACCCAACAATTCACATTCTGCCATGGTAGGTGTTTTATAATCTTGAAATAAGATTTTCATAACTCGAACCTGGATACTTGTCATTTGAGTACGATATCGTTTGTTAATGTGTGAATTGGAAGGAGAGGTCGGATTGCTGAGCATAGAAGACATGTCATCATTATGATCACCTGCTGCCTCAGACATAGTATCAGATATAGACTCATCCAAGCTGCGTCTTCTTTTTCCAAAATGATCATCAAAACTAAAAGCACTCATATCAGTTGATGGGCCATCAGAAGTTTTGTCATGAATATCAATCTTTATAGGTTTACTCAGATCAAGTGGTGCATCAATTTCAGCATTGGTACTCTGTGATCTACTTTCTGTTTCAGATCTTTTAGATGAACCTTTACCTTCAGAAATTGAATGTGCATGTTTTGGAGTACTACTCAAATCATTTATATAGCGTTTAAAGGAATCTTCATAGAGTTGATGCATTGACATTTGTACAGAATCAGATCCAGGAGAAAATCCCATTCCTGGTTGTGGCATGAATTGTAAATAATTTGGCATACCAGGCGGTAGGATTTTATTCAGATCATGTGCCGAGTTTGGTGTTGTTGGCAAAGATCCTGGCAGCGATTGTGGAGTTGTTGGACTTGTATCTAAGGAAGCATCAGGAATAGTATCGATATTGAAGTCTTTCTTTGCCATTTCCTCTGGATGTTTAGTGGCCAAATGAGATTCTAATGCAGATTTGGCTCTGAACAAAGCTCTACAGAAGGGACATCTTTTGTGTATGATTTGTTGATGTGCTCTGTATTGACCTTTTCTTTCTCGAGCTCTTGTGTTTTGGAACCAAACTTGTACAACTCTCTTCTTCAAGCCAACTTCATTGGATATGTTTTCCAATTGCTTTCGACTAGGATTACAATCCAACTGATACTTCTGATAAAGATAGTCTAACTGCTCTGGAAGAATTGTTGTCCTCAACCTCTTATCTCGTGGTTGATCACTATCATCCTCACTGTCAAACTTCCTCTTTAATGCTGAGTTACCTTCATGATGGGCAAGAGTTTGAAGTACATCAAATGCACTGTTGGGTCCAAAACCAGGGAAGAGAGCTGGGTTGACATTGTGGATCTGTTGATGTTCTTGCCATTGTGAAAGTCTGTTGAATGAAGCATCACATTTATCACATTGGAAGGTTGGCAACTGTGATACGCTTGTTGCACATGCACTATCATCAGCATAGGAGTTAAGATTAGTGTCTCCATTGGGTGAGTGACAGTCTGAATCAGTTTCTTCATCATCGTCAAAACCCTCATCAAAAGTAGAATTATAGGCTGCCATATTATTCCCAGAAGAATGTCCACTGGAGGATGAGGACTGATTTCTAGAGGATGTGCTTTGATGGTTGTTGCTGTTATTATTGTTCTTTTGATCAGATCCACACATCCTCTTCTGATGCTTAATGAGCTCATAATATCTCTGAAATACAGCGCTACATTTCTTACATTGGTAATTCAAGCCAGGGGTTCTTTGGAATACTGAAGCAGGTTCTTTCACTTCACTTGCAGGCTGATTTTCATATATCTTTCGTGCTTTTTGACGTGCATTTTGAAACCAAACAACAATCACCCGTGGACTCAACGACAGCATCTTTGAAAGATGTTCAAGCTCATCATCTTTAGGGTAAGCATTCTGTTCAAAGTAGTCCTGCAGCATCTTGATTTGGTAATCAGTAAATCTTGTTCTATTAGCTCTTCTAAATGAAGAAGCAGATTGTATGGAACTGTGGTCAAAGGAACTGTGGCTAAGATCATCATAGTATGCAGCATAAGCAGGTGTGGGTGTATTTGGTACCGAGGTTGTTGGCGTTGATGGTATGGAAGACGTAGTAGAAGGTGTGGAAGCATTTGAACGACAATCATATTCTTTTCTATCTTCAACAATTGTCAACTTTGGTTGTTCTGGTTTGTAAATCAGATCATAACGCTCTCGTTCAGGCTCCATATCTATATCCTCATTATCTTCATCATCACTTGGTTCTTGTTTTATGTCTGGTATTTTCCCAGTTTTTTCATACTCGTCCAGGTCAATGGAAGTTGATGGAGGATTATTGAAATTGTATGGAGAATCCTTATTACGTTGTCTTTCTTTGAATAAGGTGTTCCTGAACCAATGTTTGATAACTTTCTGTGGTAAACCAGATTGATCTGACATCTGTTTGATCTGATCATCACTTGGAGAGTTGGTGATATCAAAATGTGCTCTCAATATCTTTAATTGATCATCACTTATTCTGGTTCTTACTCTCTTTTGATTTGCTGCTGCAGCTGCTGCTGCTGCTGCCTGATGTTGAATCTGTTGTTGTGCAGAAGCAAAGTTTGGATCCATTACTGGCATTGGTGGCATAAAGCTTGAGACATCCATCCCAGGTAACATCATTGGCATCATATGTGAGGGCATACCAAGCTGCATCATTGATAATGGCATAGGCATCATTCCAAACATAGGCATCAGTTGTGAGATGTCAAACTGATTTTGTAATTGAGATGTAGAAGGTGGTGGAGGTGGTGGCATTTCAGGTTGATTAGTTTTTTCACTGGAAGCTTGAGGTGTCAATGGTGGCTCAATTTCTTTGGGTTCTTTCAATTCAAATTCCTTCTTAAATTGTGAACCAAACGATTCAACTAACTCTATTGGCACCATTGTTTTATGAACTTCTTCTTGATGTGTCTTCAGGACCCATACACTAGAGAAGTCTTTACTACATTTTGAACAATGACTTCTATTCATTTCAGGCATATCAATCTGTTTCTTTTTGTCATCTGATTCTTCTTTCTTTTCTGAAGTATCCATTTCCTCACAATTAGTTTCTCCAACTTCTTCCTTACGACTTTCAACATTTTCTTCAATCTCTTTCTTTACAGGGCGCAAGAGATTTTCATTAAATTGCATTACACATTCAAATCCTATGTTTTCCAACAGATTCTTTTGAATTTGTGGTTTAAAGCGTCCATAAATGTTCCTTGGTCTTGCAAGAGCAGCATGAGATCCCAAATAACAATAGATCTTTTGATGTTGTAGTAATGCTTCTGGAGTAGCAAAAGATGACTGACATTTAGGACAAATCAATCCTGTTCCTAGGGTTGAATCCAAATCATTAAGCTGTTCCATTTCTTTCATGTCAACATCTCTATTTTCTACTTTTACTTTCCTTTCTTCTTTAACCTGAGTTTGGTGTAGCAGACGTTTATTGTCTTCACCATCAGCAGATGTAGTTATTGATGTTGTATGCGGTTTGGAAGGTTTACTCAGTGACTCAATCGATGTTGAGGACTCTGGTTTACTTGACGTGGATAAAGGTAATCCTGATGTCACTCCAGGTGATGGAATCGAGTCGGAAGCATGAGCTAGCATATTCAATCCAGACATCATTGGTAAAGTGGGCATACCAGGAAACAATAGTGAATTTTGTTGAATGTTACTTACAGAAACCTTAGCCTGAGTTTGGCTGATCATATCTGTGATGGCCTGAGCTTGCTGTGTGGATACTTTGCCCAAATCTGGATTTTCTATAAGTGGTAATGTTATGTCTATTCGCCCCGTCATGGCTAATTCATGGATTTTAGATGCTCTGGTTTGATGTGCAACAGATCTGATGTGAATGTCTAAGGTGGCTCCCTGATTGTATGCTACTCTACAGATGTTACATCTGTATGGTTTGCGACCAGAATCTTGAGATGATGATGCAGTTGAAGATGTTGAAGTTGATGAACTTGGTGCTGTAGAGGATGAATTTGTAGTTGTTGCTGTTGATGGAGGAGATGAATCAAGAGATGTGGATACAGCAGAAGTTGTTTGTGTTGTTGATAAAGCAGATGTGGCAGCAGGTAAAGATCCAGTGTGGGCAGCTTGTTTCAGTTTATGAAGATGAGATACAGAATTGTAATGAACCAGCAGAATACTTTTCTGAGTGAAAGATTCTTTACACACATCACATTTAAAAGGTCTATTTGGATCTAAATACCTGTCAACAGGATACACTGATTTTTCTCCTTTTCTATGCTGAAGAGTTTTATTATGACTTGTTAAATAGTTCTGCTTAGTGAATGCAACACGGCAACGATGACATTTAAACTTTCTAGTTGGGTCTTCATAATTTCCTTCAGCAATAGCTTGACTGTTCATATAATCTTCCATAAACTGCTGCTCTTTGTAAGCATCTGATTTCTCACCATCAGCATTGGAATGATCGAGACTATCTTCTAAATTAGCACTATTATTTAAAGAATCATTCTCCTCATCCTCACATGAAGAAGAATCTTCTCCTCCTTCATCTTTCCTTATACAGTTTTCATGTACACCATTCTTAGAGTTATTAGCACTAGTTTTAACAAGGTATTTATCAAATCCAGGGTTAGAAAACAAAGCATAAGCCTTACTATTCAAATCACTCAGATGTTTTTCAAGTTCTGCTTTACATAAATCACCATGAGCAGATTCCAAATGTTCGAAAGTTTGTTGAACGCCTTTCATTGAGGCAGTACAAACAGGACAGGAAGTCGTTGATTTGACTAAATGATATTGGTTATGTATTGCAAGTTTTTCTTCAGATTGGAAAACCAGAGAACACTGGGAACACGAAAAATTGGCGTCACCTATAATGTTCCGTCTTGCATGTATTTCACGAAAATGAACTTGTAATGCTTGAGCTGTTTTAAAATACTGATTACATCCTTTCTTCCAACATAAGTAGCCTGGACCTCTTGGGGTTTGCTTCAATTCTAAATGTCCAAGTTCATTTTGATGTGCGTAAAGTTGATCAATGTTACCAAATGCTGAAGAACATGTCTGACAGCGATACTGTCCATCTTCATTTTTATCAGATACCATTGATGTGTCTACAGCTGAAATAAGAAATAATTAAACAGTTAAACTTTCTGTTGACATGTTTCACAATCTCTTTTAGAGAAATTGGAAATTGAATGTAAAGTTTGACTACAATTTTTAACAATAATAACTTGATTTATACCTAGGGTATATACAGAAATATATTATATTGAAGATTATAATTACCTTCATCTTTAATTAGTTTAGCATGATCAGCTTCTAATATATTCCAATTAATGTCTAATTCTTTATCAACATTGGGCATCACACTGGAAGACTTTTCTTGAGGTTTAGTCGACAATAGTTTGTAGACATCTGATTCAGTTTGTTCTGCTATGAGTAGAATTCTGTCCAGTCCCTCTTGTTTGACATTATGTGCTTGAAGTAGATGTGATTTAAGTCCAGAAATCTCCACACACTCATCTTGGCATAGTGGACAGTTATATTGTTTCACTTTGATAACAGCTTCATTATCACTTCCATTAATTTTCACCTCATTACCATGGCTAGATTCTGAAATTATTTATAAAATATTGATAGGGTTAGGAATAAAGATATTAACTTTCTCTGACCTATTTTATAACTAACAATAGACAATAGTATGGGTAATTAATATATAATTAATTCTAATATAATATAATTTTTTATTTCACCTATATTAATAACGTCAGATAGTGACAACCTCAATAGTTTCAATAGACTATTACCTTAGTCATATTATTGCCTTTATTACTATAGATCCAAAACATTAAACATCGACAAACTTTCTATACACCTTATTCATTTATCTCTTAGTAACTTGGCACACTAATTCAAAAAATCGAACATTAACATTTTATATCAATCTATTGAATAATATAATACCATCCAAAACTTTGAATTGTTTCCACGATGAATGCAGTAACAATATAAAAACATGCTGAGATTTCGACTATTAACAATACACAGACATTTCTTTTATTCACCAAGCTATCTAATAAACAATTAACTTTATTTACATAAAATCACCAACATTATGAAGCTGATAGACTTTTAGTATAAATTATTAAAGAACTGGTAAAGTCACGTTGGATTATATTTTATTTATGTATCTTATTAATATATTTAATTCTTCTATGTTGTTCACATTTTTGATCATTGTATTCTATAATGAGTATTTTTTCCTCTAACTATTGTGTATTGTCTAGTCTTCATGGGAATTTTCCAGTTTTATTAAAAAATCAATTAAAATTATCTACTTTTCACTAATTGCCATTTTTAGCTGGGTGAGAATATTAAATTACACACCATGACTTTAACATACTGGAGACATGAAGTTAAAAGGGCACATGTTTATGTTTATTTGAACAATAATTTTTATTAAAATAAAGGCGAAGAGATAAAACAGGATGTTTAATTTGGATAAAGTTTTAGGTTTCAATTTATCTGATGATGTTAGCTACTGATAGACTTTTTTTTCTCATTTTTCATGTAGGGTTATGTGTAAATGAATGTAGTGTGTATATACTGTAAAAACATATCGTGACAATATATTCTTCTGTACTCAAATACATCATACTGACGACATATTACATTTAATTAAATTCTTTAAATATCATATAGGACACAAAAAAACTACCTAAGACATTCTCTTATTTAAACAACATATTAACATTTTGAAGTCTAATGATTTCAACAGAGAATTATTGTTAATTCTTTTCAGCATGCAAAGGGTCAAATTCAATTAAAGATACATTTAATGCCACAAATGGAAAAAGTATTAAATATTTTTCAAAACAAAGCTGTTTGTTTCATGAGATACAATTCTTTATACAAATGATAATATCATATAAAAGAGATTATGACACGATACTCTGCTGTTGTTGGTGCAATAAAAACCAACCATGGTAAAATTGGAAAGTAACAGATGAAATTAGATTTTGCAGATCTTTCATCAGCAAATAATTAAAAAGCAGAAGTAGATAACGAGTTAACCAAATTTAACTGGGATTCTATACACTGTTTGCTTTCAGAATGTCTATATCAAATAATGATGTTTGGCCATTGATATTTTAAACTTGGAACATCTCACACATAGCTTTATAACATTCATTCATTAAAAATCCAACGATGAATCTTTATGTTACTTACATCTCACAGTCACGATAAAAACAGCTTTTTTCATGCATAAAACTATTTATAAACATGCAACAAAAAATATTCAATGGTATATATTTAATGTAAAGAAATAGAGATTGTACCTGTACTTTTAGTAATGGTGGCGGTTGGTGTTGGAGAACTGTGTGAAGTTGAGGAGCCTTCAATTTTTATATCTACTGGAATTTCACTATCAGTTTTACCATTTTCTGGTGTATCACCTTCTTCTGAAAATAGAACATAAACTAAATCAATTTTCTAATTACACACAATTTAATTCATCTGTAAGAGATTAAACAACAACTCCAGCCAAATTCTAGAAAATAAAACTTAAATAACAACTTCATAATTATCACAACTTTAATTTTCTCATTTCAAATAAAATATTTACCAGAAAAAAATTGTCTGGAGTAATATTTATGAAGAATGTAAGTTAATCTTTGTAATCTAAGTTTACTAAAACAGAAGTTTTGCCTTAATTATAAAAATAAACTGAGTTTGTTCTAATGGAATTCTCCAGCAGTTTATCATCTTGATAAATAAATATTACATTCCAAATTTTCTCTCTTTTTAGATTATCCTTATGCTGTAATATTTAATGATCATCATTTCATTTAGAAATCTCGCTATTAAAAAAAACAGATGGAAAAAAACGTTGATGGCGAGCAGTAGTGATAAATTAGGTATTAGAAGATAAAAAACGCCCTATAACTGCTAACTGACAAAATATTTATCTTCAACCAAAACATTGTGATAATTATTTTTGCCAAGCATTAGTCATTTCAAAGCTAAATATATTTTCTCAGGAGGTTTTTGATTAATTTTCTCATAGAAATTGAGTTATTTCATTAGTTTTTCTGTTCAATTCATTATCTTAATGGTACACAAGTTCACACTTCTATCTTTTATAAGAATAACCTTTTTTAATCAATTACTTTTACTGTCTTTTGGTGAAAAAAGTAACTACAGATAGCGTGAATTCAAAGCAATTGACAGTTAAGAACAAATGACACTTGATTGTGATTAGTAAAATGTTTCAATCATTCCCAAAATAACCAATCAAATTTCTCATATTACTGGAATTCAAAACTACAAATTAGAAAATCTGCAAGGAAGAAGAATTGAGTGTTACATCCCATGTTCTTCATAACATTGGGATACACTAAAAAGTACAATGATTCCTCTCCTACTTTTTCTGATTTCAAAGTAAGAATTGTTAACTTATGTAGCCTGTATCACACAGTTTTACAGATTCTCACTACCTATAAACATTTTTTTCACAGAGTATGAATGTGGACAGTAAAACAAACAGTAACTAAGTTACAATGACTGGATAAAGAACTAATATTGACCAATACAATAAATATTATGATTATTTTTTTTATGAAGTTTAATCATCTCGTGAAACCAGATTCACTTTTAATTCTTTTTAATCATATTATATTATAACTTTCTATATTTAATTTTTGTTAAATCTTTAATCCATTTAAACTTAAAGATAAGATGTTATTCAATATGGTTTTTAAAAACAAGATTTTTTTTTTTATATAATATCACCAAAACAACCTTCTTAGTCGACTTAATAACATCATTCAACTTGGATTAAAAATAATCCACAACTCAATCAATCAGGATTGGACAAATTAAAATCAGTTTTAGAATTTAAGCTGAACTAAGAATCTTTTGAAATGAGCATGAAGCTTTGAATATTAGATGCAACAGAGCCAGAGAGGTATGGGGAATCTATGCTTTCCTTCTTGCCATACCCAATATTATGCTGGGAAATATAGAATACACATTGCTTGTTTAAACAATGGTTTCCTATTTTATGCTTCTTTTTCTTCACCTTATTTATCTTTAATCAAAATAATAAGTCAGTGAAATTTTATATCATGTACAAAGAGAAAATTTCTTTATTAAAAGTTTGACCTTAATGTATACATAGGAAAGATAATTCTTTTCTAAATTATATTAGCCTTTAAACCTCGGCTTATTTAAGAAAAAAATCTATTTAACTAAAAAGGCCACAAGTTCTCATTTCTTGTCAGATAGCCATTTATTTAGAGTGAATGGTAATTCTGCTTCATAGCATATCATCTGCTTTAAACCGATCAATAGAATGAAAAAGAACAGATGAGGCAACAAAAATCAATAGTGTTGGGTTATGATTGGGATATCATATGCTCTGAGGCGATATAGGTCAGACTTGTGATCATTATTCGGAGAATTCTGACCTGTTACAGGCAAATTGGCAAGAACTGTCAGATATGTCTTCATATTAGTTTTCCAGCTCAATGACTTGAAGAATGTGGTAACAAATTGTTATAAAGGCAGCAAGCAAACGACCAAATCTATCCAATCAACAAGATAATTTGTTGCGTTTCTTGTAGCATGCAAAAGTTTTCATTTCACAGACACAAAATTCATTTCCTTGGGAGCTAGGTGGCACAGATATAATTAGTGGCAAGGATATTGATTGGTGAAAAATGGCTGGCAGATTAATTTGATGGTCTACTCAGTTTGATAGGAAAAATAATAGATCCCTGTGAGCTAAGGCCGTAATGCTGTGTTTCTCCAAACTTTAATTACTGCAATTATATGAGGCTGAGCAGAGAGAGCTGGAGGTGACGGAATGCAACGCTTCTAAACAGATCTATAAAATTACATTGATTCATTAGACTACAACACCGATTCTACCCAATACAATCTTTCATTAGACAGGCTTTAAACCTCTTTTAATATCACAAATGACTGCCTTCCACGCCATCTTAGTTTTTTCTCATTCTTTTACTTGTATTTTGTGATGATGTATTTTAATGGATCTAGAAGAATCATCCTACTCAAACTACTTTTATTCCCTTTTTACTTCACTCATATCATTATTAAACTTTTTAAAGACATGGGTCTTCAAATGTCTTTATTTTATTCCAATGAAAATATTTCCGTTTTTAGTCGATGATTAATGGAATGAAGTATATCAAGCTGGATATCAAATAATTTTCTATATCAGAAAAACCTTAATGGAAGATTGAAGTATAATGGCTTAAGTTCTTTTTTACTCATTAAAACCATCAAATAATAGAGATAATTATACATGACAACTTTTTCCACGACTTTAAACTGAACTCTTAAAGCTTTAAGATAAAAGAATATGACAAGAAAAAGATGAAATTGATGATGATAAAATGGGTTAAAGCCATTAGAAAATGACGTATAATAGGGGAATTTTATAGATGAGTCTTCAGAGACATTAAATATATATATGTGTATAATTACCAACAAAAATTTCCAGTGAAAAGTAATAATCTATAATTATTTATTCAGTCATTAGTAAAATAATAAGGCTCGTGGAATATCTTAGACTATCATAAACCTGTATTCTATATTTCTGCTGAATTCGACAAAAAAAAAACAAAAGCTTTTACTGAAAACAGATACAAAATCATTCCAGATGTCATTCGGTGGGATTAGATTTCTGCCTAAATATCAAATAATACATTATTTTCATTACATCCCCCTCCCAAAATGATAAAGTAAAAAAATGTGTGTGAATGTTTATAAAATGTGAAACTTACCTTCACTATTGATTGTCTTATATATATATGAGTAATGATAATAATATGTTTATATGGTTAAGATTAAGTTTTTGTTTTAAATATATTAATACAGGGAATGGTAACAGCTGTCAATAGTCTATGTTTCTCACCCATCAAACTTAATACCAATTATCTAGATTAATATATATTCACTCATTAATTTCCCACTAGTTTATTAGTTATACTTGTTGTGCCAACAGACCAGTAATGACAGACTTATATTACACAGTTTGCCCAATCAAATACCATCATTTTATCTTACAGACCTATTTCAGCTTCCAGATTCACATCACCATTTTCTAGTGCATTCCATTGGGAGAACAAAGTAATGTTAGACAAAGTTAAAGGGATATATCCAATAGAATAATATAAAAAATATAAGTCAAAGTTTCGCAAAATTTAAATATGTCACCAACAATTGTACACATGCTAGGTATATTCTGATTGAAACAAAATCATTAAGTATCATGTATGAGTATGAAGAAAGCAGTCAGTTGTGCTCATCATGGTCTATAATTTTCATACAGCAATTTAAATAACTTTTTAAGGGAAATATGAAAATTTTCTTTTAATTAATATGAATTGAAATAATGAACAGATTTGAGATATTTCTTATTTTTCAGGTCGATCTCCTTTAAATGAAGCAGACGATTAATAATTTTGGTAGACAAGACTTATCTAGAAAGTTAATTTATGATCCATAATTACATTGTACTATTGATGAGAGTTTATTCTAACAACCAATTTCTACCATGACTAATTAACTATTTTCCATTATAATAATTTACATGTCTGATATGAACCATACTGTAAACTATTGATTTCAGTTCATTTATTTTACCCAGTAATTATTAACTTATTCATCAAAATTCTAAAATTTACATTTAATCTCAAAGCTCTTGTGGTTAAGATAACTTAAACATTTTACAAACAGCAAGCAATGAAGAAAAGCAGACTTTTACAGTAGTTTTGGTCAAAGTGTTATAAGATAGTTTACATTTATCTAAGTCCCTTTAAGTCTATTTCTTGGAAAAACATAAATCTTACATTAAGTCTGTATTAAGTAAGAAGGACCATAATGTGCCTCTTTCTCTGATTGTTAATTCATTTGTAAGTGTAACATGTGCCATTTGGTCCTTTGAGATGACCTGAACATGAATTTTATGACATTAAATTTAGGGTTGTTGTTTTTTTGCGCCATACCTTAAAATAAGGTAAAATAAATGTAAAATGTGATGCTAATATCAATAAATTGTAACATTTACATGTAATATAGCTGTATTTCTCAGTAAAAACTAATGGAATTCATTAAAACGCAAAAGGTTATGGTGTTTTGGAGACAAAATTAATTAGATTTCTCCAATATTTAATCTAAAAAATCTTTCTATTTAATAAACACAGTTAAATGAAAAAGCCAAGTTGACCTGGGGTGGCTTAAAATCATTTATTGATTCGACTTTCTCAATATTGTAAAAGACCATTGTATTTAAAGTTTTATCTTATTCCCATGGTGTTTTAACAATGAAATATCCGAACAAATAGACACATATTATAAAACACTGCTAAATACTTCTACAACTCAACAACCATTTCCATATATCTCTTTAATTCCACAAGAAAAACCAGTGTCACATCTAAATTGTGTGATTGATCAAGTAGCTAGGATAATCCACCATTAACAAACAATATGAAGTGAAATTTGATGAGAATAAAAAAAGATGAGTTGTCACACCTTGTGATAAAGGACTTGTGAAATGTGAAGAAAGCCTGACACAATCAAAGACAAACATTGGACATAATATCAAAGATGAAAACAGATTCAAGATAAACAAGACAGAGACTGAATCTAAAATAAACGATAACTGTTAAAACTTTAATTAGAATGAAACAATGACAACAAAAACAGGAAGGTCACCTTTAAACACATTTTTATTGCCATGGTTACCATTAGAAAATTAATGTTTTAATATACACATGTACAACTTAAAAACAAAGTTCACTAACAAATCTTTCTAGTTTTTCATCTGGTATTAGTTTATAGAGTGTCGTTTAATTTGATATTTCTTTATTTTACTGAAAATAATCTCCAAATAAGCAATCATTTTCTGCAAAGTCCAAATCAAATTTGTGTCCAATCTAAATATTAAAACGACCGTGTTATATTCTGTTAAAGTAAACTTCAATTTGAAAGCTAACATATTTCCACATGAATAAGTTCAAATAAACCAAACAATGAGGGTCACAGCTATACCTTGATATCAAAGTAATGTCATATTTACTTATTTCTGCACACTAGTTTCACCCAATCTTAAATTGTATTGTTTTTCCTTCAAGTACCACACATGTGTTAAACATCTGAAAACATGGTAGCCATTATTAAATTGCTGGCCCTAATCTCACACTATAAATTCTATTCTTAGTGTCAATATAAGAAATGATGTAGAATTAGGCCGAAATAATATTCAAAGTTTGATAACATCAGTGGTGATATGGAGCCAATATTTAAATAGCAATAACATTGAACAGGGCATGTAAAGGGTGAATGTAAATATTCAAATAAAAAGTTTAATATACACAAGAAAACTTGTTGGTGAAAACTGAACAAAAGTTTACAGATAGTAAATACTTCATAAAATACATTTGACCTTATTTAGACTGAATATTAAATTGACAAGTTTTGAAGAAGAGTGATGAGTGATGAAAGTTAGTCTGTCACACTGACAATCACTATAAACTAGGTAGAAAAAAAACATCCTTAAGTAACCTTTGATTTATATGCCTACTGTAAACCAAATAATATAAATAACAACTAAATCTTTCTTTATGTTTGATACTGGTTCTTCATCTATTGTTTTAAAATAGTTAATCTTGGAACACAACCAGATTTGTGTTGAGTTGAAAGAGATTAAGGACAGTGTTTACCTAAAACAAAGTTTGCAATCTACAAACAGTTGTACAAAGTAACGCTTTTGTCACATCTTTTGTTGTCATTGTTGGCCAAGTCCTGTCTTCATCAAGCTACTTAATTCTTAGGCTGATTTCATATCTTGATTAAGCGCCCAATTTCTGGCCACTTTATATCTAAATCAATAGTTTGAAGTATTTTCTTATCAACCTGTCCTAATTTATATTAGACAAGTAAAGTTTTAATCATGTTGATTTAACTCCAGTAACATATCATAGATAAGCTTGTCTTAATCCCCCAATGCTTTATTATAGAAATTTCAAGATGGAATAT